GCAAATATGAAGCTCATCTGAAATTTAAAAACCAGTCTATTTAACTTCTAAGCCTGACCTTTTGTTTTTTTGGCAGTACTGTGAGCTGAACCTAGGGTCTTCATACTGAGCATTATAGCAGGCCTTTTTATTTTGAGACAAGGTCTTATGAATTTATTAAGTTGCCCACACAGGGCTTGAATTTGTGATTTTCCTGCTTGAGCCTCCCAGTGTTGGGATTAGGGGTGTGTGCAACCACGCCAGGCTTCTAAGCTCATATTTTCGAAGCATCAGAGCAGAGAAACATCGAGTTTAAAAAAAGTCATTTATTTATTTATTTGGTACAGGATCTCACTACACAGTCCAGACTCATAGTGATCCTCCTTGTCTCAGCTTCCCCATGTGCCACCATGCCTGGCTTTGGTGGCCAGCACAGTGTGCCTGGAGTCCCAGGGCCGGCACAGCATGTGCTACCAGGGATGAAACCTGGGTCCTTGTGCTTGTAAGGCAGGCACTTAGACTGCTGGGCTATCTCCCTAGCCCAGAAACATCAACTTTAATTTTTTTTTTTTTTTTTCTCCGAATGCCTTTGGGGCAGGTTTGGCCAGCTTGAGTTGTGGGGATCGAACCACAGCAACCTGAGCCTGACTGCTTTGTTAAAGCAGCCACTTAGCGAACTGAGCTAAGGGGCAGGCCCCTCACTTTTTTTTTTTTAAGTCTTCTTTAAGGAATGAGCCTTCATTTTAAATTCAGAACTTTGGAGAGGATTTTGACATTGCCTTGTAATGATGTATCCTTATTTTAAACTCTGGATTTCTACTTTTATGAAAACATACAACCTTACATAAAAAAATACTTGAGGCTGGGTTACTGGATGGAATATTTTGCTTTAAAATTCCTTATTAGCTGGGAAACGTGGTATACACTTATAATATCAGTACTTAGGAAGATGAGGCAGGAGGATCACTGCAAAAACAAGATCAGCTTAGGCTATGCAGTGAGTTCAAGGTCAACCTAAAAGTACAGAAAAAGAGACCCTAAACACCTCTCCTCCAAATCTCATTAAAACTTAAACTCTGAGGCAAATGTAGGAAAATCAGAGACTCAAAAGTTACACTGCAAGATTTTCCTTCCTTTCAAGACCCAATGCAATGTCAAAATGAGGAAGAAGGATAGTTAACTTCTGTGAAATAAATCTCAAGGAGAAGTGTCAACCGAGGCAGGGAGTCATACAACTGTCAAAAAGCAAGAGGGATTTTTTTTCAGTATACAAACTGATAATAAATCAAATGCTAATTTATACTAACTTCAAATGATTTAAGGGAATTTGTCAGATTCTTTTGACAATGAGTCTGAAAGTTTTTAATTTATTGTTTTATTTAGTTGAAGGTCTTACTAGTAACTCAAGCTGCTATGATGCACTAATTCGAGGCACCTGAGCAAGACCTACGTTGATGAGCTTGTGTAGGCTTAAGGGTAAGTAAACCAGGGGCTTGAGCCTCAAGTCCAGCTCAGAGGATCTGCTTGGAGCATACGTAATTGTAATGGTTGAGCCAGCATTTAAACATTTTTTTTTTTTTTTTTGCGAAACCGGGGATTGAACTCATATCCTTGTGTTTGCCAGTCAAGTGCTTATCCTACTGAGCCATCTCCCCGGCCTCTTAAAAAAAGATTAAAAAAAAAAATCACATGTAAAACATCCAGAATTCAAGCTTTTCTTAGGAAAATGAAGAGTTGGCTTTCAACATTTTCCAGTGGCCACAATCTGCAAAAGCTGGGTTCCTCTAAAGTAGAACTAGGTAGAGAAAATACAGGAATTACGGGGAGAAAAGAATGAAAAGTAACATATGGCTATTTCACTTAGGAAGATTTTAATAAACCAGACAGTAAAAAACTTTCTCAATGTGGTGTGCTCTGGTACTCTGGGACATGAAATAGCAATGATTGGTGACAGAAACCTAAAGGTGATGTGAATCTTTCAGTACCAATCTTGCCCAAATGAGGCACTTTTAGAACTCTTGTCAAATTTTAGGGGCTTTGCTGCATAGCTCAGTTGTTTAAAAGTGCCATTTGGGTAAACGCAGGCAGGCACACAGGACCGCAGTTCGATTCCCAGCTCCAGAAGCTGTACCAGACCTGCCCTTAAGGCAGCCTGAAGTAGCCAAAAACAAAAACAAAAAAACCCCCTCCTTGTCAAATTGTAGGTAAATATTTCAGAAGAAGTCTTTTATATGATATCAGTTAAAACATAACTAGCTCTTCAAATTATTGGGGCTGGGGAGATGGCTCAGTAGAATAAGCACTTCCCTGGCAAGTGCAAGGGTCTGAGTTCAATCCCTGGTTCCATTCAAAAAAACAAAAAAAGTTTCCTAAGTGTCTTATGGAACCATGCTAATCCTCCCTGCCTTTAGATTCCAACCACATTTTCTCTTACAGTATATATGATGGCATCTCTTTTTGCAAGCCAGTTATTTTGTTATATTTTACAAAAAAATGGGAGGCCTAGAACAAATGCCAAGGACTTTGTCCAAGGTCACAGAACAGGCAAATAAGGACTCAGGACTTCCTAAAACTTGGCCCAGTGTTTGAGAAGTCAGGAAATCCTGACATCTGAGTACCATTTCTGATGTTCCAAAACTATTTGTGGCATAATATTATAAAGGGTATAAATTTAAAAAGAGGAAGTAAGGGAAGTCACTGCAAAACTGTTGTAGAGGGAAAGAAAAAAAAAAAACCAAAACAACCAAACAAAAAAACAAGCCCTAAAGTTTCTAAGGAAGGAGATGCAGGGAACTAGCATCCAATGTGGTCCACTGGGTGCAAGGAAGATGGGGAGAGAGGAGGGAAGACAGCACTGCAAGGTAGGGGAAGAGCTGAGATCAAGAATGCTATGAGTGGAGGGAGAACTGGCTACTATGCTGGGAGAGAGATTAGATCAAGGAAGGCATTCAGAGACACAGAGGACTCAGCTAAGTACATCTGTAAAAGCATTTTGTAAGATGAGGCCCCTGTACACAAGACCCCCAAATAAGGAAACACTGAAGATCTGTAAATAAAAGATGGGAGGTAATGTGCAAAATCACACTTTGCTGCCTACTCTCATGAGAAGTGGATCACATGCCACTGCACAGGTGTGCACAGAAGATGGCCTAGCACAAGGGTATGGTACATGGCCTGGCAGCCTTAAAGAAGTGGCGAGGTTTGAGACCAGATACCGCCACTCACGAGCTGGGGAACTTGGGCAAGTTAACTAAATCTTACTGTGCCATTTTTCTATCCTGTGAAATGGGAGGAACACCACTACTCACCTGAGTTATAGGATTACATAAACAACATATTTAGAATAGTGTGTGACACACATCCAGTGCTACAAAAGCTAAGTAAAATAAGTCATGTGCATGCCAAGGAACACAGAGGGGATACAGAGGCTCAGATGCTCCAACAGGCACGATGGAGAAACAGCATATTCCTCCAGCTACATAAACACATTCTTGCAGAAACTAGATAGGCAAAGACAAAACATTTTGGAGTTGAAATATGCAGATGGCTAGCATCATCACTGATCTAGAGGGAAGGGAAGTCAGTTGCAAGGTAACTGGAAAAAACTGGATGTGGGTAGGAACGCGAACCACCAAGGAAGTCAAAGACTGGTTTTAACACTTGGCTTTCCATGCTAGGACCAGAAGGCCCAGTGTGTCGTGCTATGGGGAGGGCAGTGAAGGCAGCAGTTAATAAAGATAGTGAAAGTCAATTAACAGGGACTGAGCTGTGTGCGACTTGCGTTCTCTGTTGTCTGCTGAAATAAGGGAACATGAAGAGTCAAGAAGTCTCCTGTTCCCTCTAAGGTATTTTTACTTCATTTCTTACAATTTAAGCTCTCTGGGGACTGTCAAGGATTTCCCAATTTCCATATCCACAGGTCTCACCTCCATTGTACTTGAAGGTACTTCTGAGACCACTGGCAAAGTCATGCTTTCAGAAACTTCCTTTGAGGGCTGGACACTACGCTCAGCTCTCCTCTCACCTCCATAATTATTTCTCTGCAATCTTTGTAAGCACTCTGTCATCCCTGAAGCAGTCTCCTTCATGCTCACTCCTACTGCCTCAGTCCAGCCTTTGCCATCTACCTGGGTTTCTCAAACAGCGCCCCTGCTGGTCTCCCTGCTCCCATCTCTGCATTCCCATCCATCCTCCATGCTATTTCCAGTGTACCTTTCTCCAAAACCAATGTGATCATGTTACTCTCCTTATGGATCTCTGCTAGCAAATCACACACTTTTCATTTCAAAGCCACATGTCACATAAAGTCTGCACCATTCCACTCGATTTACCCTTCAACTTTCACCTCTCTTCTACGTGTGCTAACTTACACAGAGCTTCTCAATGAGTCCAAATGTGCTGTGTCCCATGACACCATGTTTGGGCCCCTCTCTTCAATCTTTTCTGCCTGGTAAAATCCTTTACTTGCTCCAGATCCAGCTTAACTGCCACCTAAGAACTGTTCTACTCAGCTTACTTTTTTTTTTTAAAGTATCTTTTAGGGAAGGGTCTATAGGGTATTCAGGGTCTCACTATTAGATCAGACTCCTAGTGATCCACCTGTTTATAGCCTCCCAAGAGTTGGGATTACAGGCGTGTACCACCACAGCAGGCCCAGGGATCGAACCTCTGGCCTTGCGCCTGCTTGCAGGTGCTGTAATCTGCTGCTACTCAGCTTTAAGCAGTCAAGAGTTCTTCACTGTCTCACTGCCAACAGCACAGTGGTCAAATGTCTCATATGAGAGGCCAGGTGAAACTATGACTGACCTGTTGAATCATCACGTTTTCCATTCAATTCCATTCCTCCAACATGAAGCCAAATGTTACTAAAAAACTCTTATACCCAGCAGAAAACCTTATTGGGTGATCCAATAATCCTTTTAAAGACTAGGGAGACTTTACTGCTAACAAGGTTAGTGCTGAGGCACAGTGTTTACAAAGCCCGGGCTCTATAACCAAACAGGAAGAGGGCTGCCGCTCACCGCTGTATGTCCTTATTCTTCCACAAGGAGGCAGACTGAGCCTTTGGCACTCTTTCAATGAAATTCACCAACTCTTCCATGAGAAGCCTGAGTTTAAAGAACAGATGTGAAAAATTATTAGAAAAACACCTTGCTCTAACACTGTGCCCACCAACACCTGCCCTGTTTCACTCAGACACCATTTTACATTGACATTCACCTAGCCTTTGAAGTGAATTTACCTTAAAACAATTCAACCTTTAAGACAAGCCTTGCTTGTTTCTTGTCTCTAAACACTAAATATACAAGCCTATTCTAAGTCTTTCTAGGATTTTGGCCTCTATGTTACTAAAGGAGTTTTTACATGACTGTGAAGTATCAACTCTGGTGGCAGCAGGAGTGGGGTCAATTATTTAAAAATGACAATATGAAATGTATAATATTTTAAGGACTATCCTAAAATATTGAAATATCCTAAAAATAAAGGATAGCAAAAAGCAAATCATTTATGAGCTCACGAGATGGACTCATAGGACCTGAATGAGGGCACCTAATAAATACTACTCTCAGCTGGGCTGAGGGTATACACACTCTCAGGAGTCATGACACAGAGAACTGTGGGAACTCCTGGACCAAAAAGCCTGCAATACATTTTCATTATCTTGCTCATAATCAAATGTAGATGAATCACACTGATTTAAATCCCCTCCATATTAATGTATATATAGATAATACGAAGCTATACACGTATAAGCATCCAATGACTGAACAACTTCATCTCACTTTTATTTTTACTTAATCCTAATGCCATCTCCTCTTTTTCAGCAGGCAGGTACGTGTGTGGAGATGTTTAACTTAGGAAGTTTGCACTGAACTGCTTCCCCAACTTTTTTATTTTTTATTTTGAGAGAGTCTTGCTAAATTGTCTAGGCTGGGATCCAGCCTGTAATCCTCCTGCCTCAGCCTCCCAGAGTGCTGGGAACATGGATGTGTCTCTATGCCCAGCTGCCATCTCTTCTTATCTTGGAGAAGCAGTACTAGTTCCAGGATCCTGTGAGCTGGGACCCAGGCTCACAGTTATCCTGGCTATAGCTCTCATAAGAACAGTCTGAGGCATCCATCCTCACATTCTTACTTCTTTAGACTATCGTCTATCATTCTAGTTTCTTCAGCCCTGAAACTGATCCATCACTGAGAATCTTATTTTCTATAATGGTCCCTCGTTGAAAAAAAAAAAAAAAAGAAGCCCTGTTAACAAAGGGGCTGGGGAGATGGCTCAACAGAATAAGCGCTTGCCTGGCAAGTGCAAGGGCCTGAGTTCAATCCCTGGTTCTGAGAAAAAAAAAAAAAAAAAAAGGTCCCTTGTTGGATTCCTTACAGCTCTCTGCACACAGTACAGGTAGAATGGTTTCATACACAAAACAGATTGTTTCTTTCTAGTCATTCCATCTTGTGGATGCTAGAATCCCACCTCAGAGTCTAGATCCTCTTTATTAGGTCTTGACAGCTTAAAAATATATTTGTTGATTTATTTTGAAGAATATCTTTTCCTTTTTTAAATTTTATGTACTGACAGAGTCTTGCTATGTGCTTATTATTATTACTTTTTGCTATGTGCTTAGACTCATAGTGATCCTCCTGTCTCAGCCTCCCCAGTGCTGGGATTACAGATGTGCGCCACCACGACCAGTCTTGGTAGCTGGCTCAGCACACTCGTGGCAGGACCAGCACAAGGCCAGCACAGAATGTGATACCAGGGATCGAACCCTGGTCCCTGTGCTTGCCTAGGCAGGTGCTTAGACTGCTGAGCTATCTCTGTGGCTCTTTGTTGATTTGTTTCAAAATAATCATTTAAGAGATATTTTTCCTGGGGTAACTTCCATCACATAATTATTATTCTCAGTAAATGATACCATGTACTTTCAGCATTCATCTATGTCACTAAAGCATGGCTGGGGCAGAGAAAGGGACAGCAGAGCTTTCTCGGAGTCAAAGACTACACATTCTTACTCCTCAGCATGCAACATTTCATTGTCACCAGCAGGGACAACTTAATCACCTACTTGTTATCTATTGCCTATTTTCTACAAGCTATCTGTAGAGTTTGCAGTAAACCATATAAAAAGGTTTATAGTTTGCAGTAAACCATATAAAAAGTAATAAAATTTTTTCTTTTGGTGTTCTCTGCCTTGCATCTTTGTGGCATCTTCCCAAACCTTACATCCTCTAGTTGGTACCATCTGCAAAGAAGCTATCTCTGCAAAGGCCCTTCAATTTACATTACAAGAAAATGACTAACAAGACCACCCATAGCATCTTTATCCAGGCATTTCCAGTGAACAGTCCTTTATCTAGAGTCACCTATCTGCCCCAGAGGGAAGTAACCAGACTTCACTGAGGGAGGAGCTGCAAGCACACCGCAGGGGGCTAAGCAACTGTGCTCACCTGCCAATCTGGACCGTGGGCTCCGTGGCATACACTGTGCCTGTGAATCCTGTGTGCTCAGTGATGTAGGGCAAAGCCATCATGCAGTGATAGTTAGAGATGAGAATTACATCCACTGTGGATAAGTCTATTAGCTCGGTCTGCAAACAAAGAGGAGATGAGCCATCTCTGGGGAAGGCACACAGATCAACATAAAGTGACTGAAAAGGATGCTGTCAGAAGGCAGAGAAATGGTTTTTGTACTTCAGATTAATGAGGCCTTTCCTACCAACCTTCTACTTTTTCACTATAGGATTTTGTGAACAGTACCATTAAGTAGGAAGACAAGATTAACGAAGATGGTCCACCAGTAGTACTCTGATTTTATGAGAAGAGTTCTGAGTTAAATGTGAGGCTAACTGACAACAGGGCAGGGCAACACCTGTTGCCTGGCAGGTGAAACCAGATAACATGAAGTGAGGGAGCACAGTCGAAGCTCTCAGGGGTACCAGCATGTACTGTACCACTGCTACAGGTCAACAGGAAGTGGGGAGCAACACACACAAACCTACTCATTGAATGTCAAATGGAGAGACAACTGGTTTTTGTTTGTTAAGGCAATTTTTAGCTACCAGTTCTGTATATGGAGTCAATAAAAAAAAAAAAAAGGAATGACAGCCATAAGAAGAAATTTACATTCTATCTTAATCTTAACTCAAATCTACCATTGTAGCCTCTTATTTCATAGGCAAGGGAAATTGCTATCCAAGTTGCGTGAAATTTTTTTTTTTTTTTTTTTTTTTCAGAACCGGGGATTGAACTCAGGTCCTTGTGCTTGCCAGGGAAGCGCTTATTCCACTGAGCCATCTCCCTGGACCCTAAGTTTTGTAAATGTTAAGAAAATTCTTTTAGTAGAAGAAAATTTTCTCTCATAAGTTTAAGCCCTGCCTGTTAAGGCTCTATTAGTCCCTTATTCCACCAATTTCCCAATGTGCTAGGATGAAAGAACTCACTTGGTCCTCTGAACCCCCAAGTACTTTATGTATACCCCCCTTTCTGACAGCACTTTGTACAATGACATTTCAGAACAATACCCTGTCCTGTGTCCCCCTCACCCCACCACCATGGCAAGCAGCACAGAAGAGGCCTTGGCACACAGGTGTAGAAGGGACTCAGCTGGGCAAGGTTATTGCCTGTGGAAGTAAGGTGCTCTGGCTCAGAGGCATCATCACACCACTCTGAGCTCCCTCAGGGGAGCTGAGCCCCAAAACTGCACAGTGCACTGAGGACAAGCCCAGCTAGGTCACAGAGGTGTTTCAGGGAGAATGGGTTTGGAGCTAATATGCCTGTTACAATTTATTTGGAGATGACCCTCAGAGTCTCATGTGCTCATGGTTGGGACTTTGGGGAGGCGAGTGGCTCATGGGGGCGTGATATGCAACAGTGGGTTAGTCCCTTGGGGTGTTTACAGCTGAGTATGATGCTGGGAGCAGGTGGTTAACTGGGGTACGCCTGGAAGGCTCTGTCTCCTTGCTCTTCCCTGTATTTCTCTGCATCCCACAGCTATGCCATGAGTTACTTCTCTCCATACCCTTCTGCCATGCTGTCCTGGAATCACCTGACTAGGGACTGAAATCTACAAACTGCAAGCCAAAATAAAACTCTCCTCCTTACAGTTGTAGGTGTCAGCTACTGTGTCTCAGTGATGAATGAACTAAGATGGGAAAACATAGCAGATATCTCTTACAAGAAATGTAAGAGGCATCCTGCCATTTTGACTGTGGGTTCTTTGCAGCAAAACAACTCTGCATATAAAATAACTGAATAAAACTACCAAGGCAGCATTAGCTCTAAAGGACAGCATGTGAGCTGAAGCCCCAAGAACCTCACTGTGAGAGCAGCAGCATTTAGTGACTAATATGCCCAGGGACGTTGGCAGCCCAGGAATATCACCTACGACCCCCAGCTGCATGCTGTGACTGCACTTGCACAACAATAGCCATGACAAAGGAGCATGGAATACCACTGATTCTACTCCCTGAAATTAAGGGAGAGTGGTTGAGTTTCAAAACCAGACAAAAATGATAGGAACAACTGCTGAAGGAACAATGAAGCTCAAAAGCATTACCACCTTCCTCAAGCAAACAGAGGCCAGGTGATGAAACTTATTATTTCTCCTTAACTTATAAAAATCATACTTGGCATGGTGACACACATCTATAACCCCAGTCAGTGCTCAGAAGGCTGAGGCAGGAGGTTTGCTGAGAGTTTGAGGCCAGCCTGGGCTACATAGTGAGTTCAAGGCCAGACTGGACTACACTGAGGTCCTGACTCAAAAAACTAAAATCAGCCCACAGACTCTATAACTGTAAGAAATTTGGAGAGGACAGCTGGAAGAAAAAAGTATTTTTTATGTGTGTATATCTATACACAAGGAATATATAAATATATGGTGAATGTGTAAATTTAAACATTTTTACAACGAGGGCCAGGGAGATAGCTCAGTAGAATAAGTATCTGCCTGGCAAGCACAGGGTCTTGAGTTCAATCCCTGGTACCATTAAAAAAAAAAAAAAAAATTACAACGAAAGACACATTGCTATTAATTCCCTTGAAATATTCTCCCTTGCTTCCAACATACTTGTCCCATCATTCTTGCCACTTTCTGAAGCAGTTCGAAAAGTTCTCTTTTGTAAGTTTCTTTACTACAGTGAAGCTGAGTGCCATCCAATGGAAGGCAGACTTGTAAAAACATGATGGTGTGTACTTATTTACCTTACTTGGCAGATGGCACCTGACCACTTCTGTCTTTTCCTCAAAGTCAAAATGATCATGAGGAGCTGGGGAGATAGTTTGGTGGTCTAAGAGCCTGCCTGGCAAGCGCAAGGACCCAGGTTTGATTCTTGGTACCTCATGCCCTGCCAGCCCCGCACCAAGCAAGCCACTGAAACTGGATGTAGTGGCACACACCTGTAATCCCAGTGCTGGGGAGGCTGAAACAGGAGGATCACTATGTCTCTGAGCTGTGTATAGCGAGACCCTGTACCAAATAAACAGATAAATAAATGATAGATTAAAAAATAATGAAAGAATTGCAAAATTGCTTAAAAAGTGGCAAGGACCTTGGGATGTGTATGTTTGGTGCAAAAGAGAATATTCTGACTAATGGCAATGTGTTTTTCACTATAATAAATATTTAAAATTTTTGAAAAACATTCACCATATTTTTCAATCACAACTCACGTATCTCCACAATACATGCTTACATAACTTTCTCCCCAAAGTAATAAATTTAACATTCAAACCATATATATGTGTATAACTTACATATTTATTTACTTCCACTCAGTGGAATTCAATAAACATTAATGAATCAAGCATAATTTACCGATTACTTCCTATGTTGTACTATATCATGTACAGAGTTTATGGTGTAGACTTCAGAGTATGCAAAGATATTTATTTAAGACAACTGTACTAGATTATAAATTTTATAAGGACAGGGGTTGGTTCAGTTGGGTTTGTCCACAAGCCACTGGAAACCAGATTGCAGTCAGTGTTTCTCTCCCACTTCTACTACATTGCTGTTCTCCTTGTCCTACAATGACTTGGCTTTACTTTAAAATGATAACTATCATTCACCTGTGCCATGTACTCTTGCTTGGAGCTTTAGAACTCTCTATATATCAATAACACTGGTAATTAAACAATTTTAAATATTGAGTGCTCCATGGAGCAAGTTAGAAAGTCCTCTGAGCACCTGTTTGTGTCTCATTTTGTTGTCCATAAACTGAAGGTTGCAGTTGTCAGTGCCATCTGTGGCACACTGAAAATGCATGCAGCACCTGGATCGGCAATCTCTGAACAGATGGGGAACTGTCCCACCAATTTCTAAGTGGCAAAATGTGGATGACAACAATGAGAGATTGTCAAGATTCTCAACAACTCTTCCTGTACCTTCATTCTTACCACCAACTCCCTCCTTCGTCTGCTACCTTCAATTACAATGCCCTTCTCTTTTTCTTCTGAGCTGTTACCCACAAAGGGTACATATACATACTTCAAAGACAGAGAAACTTTAACCACAGAGTTTCAAAGTATAGAAATGGGAAGAGTGCAAGGAAGAGAAGATCAAAATAAGGGAAGTGGTGGTGTAAACCTAACTATGAACCTGCCTTCTCCAGGCACTGGAATCCACTGGACTTGTGGAAAGAGGGACATGGCAACTTCTGACTTCCTAAGAACCCCAGAGAAACCACTGGCTCCCGTGTATTCATCTGTCTGTTGAGAGCCCATGCAGGCTTGCTCTGGAGATTAGGCCTGTCAGCTGAGGTCACCTTCCTTTAAAACTAATGGAAACTGATGAAACTAGCTTCAAACCCCAATAAAATTCTCACTGCCATAATATATAAGCAGCAGCTAGCCATGACTCAGTCCAGATACCACGAATTTCAAGTAATATTCAATATATTTTAAGTCTGTAAGAATTTTGCAGTTTATAGGCACTAGTTGAATAATAGCAATCCTCAATTACCCACTGTAAGCAAAATTAGGAAGAGTATGGCTAATCTAAGCATAAAGGCATTATAATTACAAAACCAAAAGGCTTAAGTTATTTCCTTACTTTGCTCAATACTATGTCCGAAAAGTATTACTGAAGATTACAGAAAGAACCAGGAATAAGAACAGAGTGACTTAAACGTTTTATAGACAATACAAAAATCTCTTAAATGATGTTTTAGCTGTATAACAATGTGCCAGGAATAACAAATTCATTTCAAATTGAAAACAAGAAGCTAAGCTCCTTAAAATTATTTCTTGACTTCACTGTGAGAGATTACACAATATGTGTAGTTTCCACAATAAGATTCACTTTCATCTTACCTCTGGTAAACAGAATTCAGGCACAGAATCCACAAATACATGACCTGAGCACTCCTTTAACTCCTACAAGAGATAAAGAAGGACAATACTAGTAAGAGATAACCAATAGGTACAACAACAAAGAAATAAAATCTCTAAACCATACCTCAGAGGTGGTAGGTTATTTAGACTAACTGCTCTCTGTTCCACGTCAAGTATGTTGAGTGTCTTACTGAGGTAAAAATGTTGCTTATTGCCATACTCAGTATTAAAATGTATATTTCTTGGTGCCTTTTTAAGGAAGGACACATTCTACTTCTATAACGTATGAGCCAATGGTTTCCAAGTAACGATTATGAAGGCCAGAGGAACAATATGAGAACTATCTGGGGGCACTTATTAAATCAAAGCTCACTGGGCCTTATCTAATATCTAGGCAATCAACGTAGGGATGAAGGAATGCAGTCTCTGTTTATGACAAGCAACTTCAGTGATTCTGCTATGCAATCATGTTAGGAGTTACAGCCTTGCACAAATTACTCAAAAGCCTTTATTCCACTTACCAAGGGTTGGGGGAAAAGTGGAAATAAGAAGGGAGGCTCAAGGGTAGGGAGTATGAGAAGCTCAAAGTAAGAAAGATCCAAAATGTACAAAAGATATTGTAAAAGGGAAAGAAACTGTTCAAAAGAGAAGAGAAACTGGGATGGGGACAGGAGAAACTAAGGAAGGGAAAAGCAAAAAACCATGTATGTGTGATAGTTTACTAATTTCTTTTAGTTCATAAAGGTTTGCGCTAATATTGTTTGGACAATTAAATACCTGTATCTTGAACTATGAATAACTAATTTAAAGATAACAATATGCAATGCACTAACTATTGTTACCCATCTACTTATCTTGTTTTGAAATTTTTTTTTAAGTTAAAAACAGGCTGGGGAGATGGCTCAGTGGAATAAATGCTTCCCTGGCACGTGCAAGGGCCTGAGTTCAATTCCCGGTTCCACCAGAAAA